CACCACGCATACCTGAACGCTGAATTTGAAACCTTTAGCTTACACATGCACAGGAATTACCCCTACAAAGTTTCAGCCTCTTACGTTGTCTGGTTGCCGAGATCGCTTTCCCGCCAAAAAATTTGCATGTTTTTTAAGGGCGTGCGTACGCGGCAGCAGGCGTGTGTGGAGGATGGTATTAAAACGAAAGGTCGCATGGTATGGGCATATACTTTCAAATTTTCAGCCTTCTAGCTTTTCTGGTTCTGGAGTTGAAAGTGGGTGACAAAAAGTGCAAATACACAAACCTACACACAGACAGCCTTTTCCCAATATACGTTTTTGCAGCTTGCGTATATGCGAAAACGCATAACAATAAAAAATGGCTTTTTGACATTATTATTGTTGAACAGTTTAAACCCACGATGGAACTTGGCATATGGAAATATCCCAGTAATCCCACTTATCAGTGAAAATCCACTGTGACTCTCCGAGTGATTTTGACATTCCTAGTCAAACTAAATGCGTCTCATTGTACATTTCTCAAAAGCAAAATATTAAGATGCTTTTTAAAAACTAGATGCTCACGTCCACCTGCAGGGAATTTCACTTCCAAGCAGGATTAAGATCGCACCTGAAAGTAGAATACTCCAGCGAAGTTTCAGCCTCGCCTTTATCCTATAACCGAAATAACCACTCCGCTACAAATTCTTCGAAGTGTCCCAACTCGTGGCGCAAATGCAAATCAGTACTCATTTTAGGTATACGATTTCCCATATGGGTGAAAAACATGCTGCTAAAATTTCAGCCATTGCTTTCCGGCAAGTTTTGGAGTTAGGACAGTATCACGTGACCGTGCGCACTGCACAAGCGTTCGCAACAGCTGAATTTGAAATTTTTATCTCGCAAATGCAAAAAGAATATTCGTGCAAAGTTTCCGCTTTGTACGTTGCCTGGTTGCGAGATCGCCCTCCGTAAAAGAAATATGCATATTTCTTCCGGGGGTTTGTACGCGGGGGGTCTAGGCGCGTACGAGCAAAAATTTTGAAACAGAAGGATGGCACAACATATACGCAAAATTTCAGCCTTCCAGCTTTCCTGGATGCTGAGATGAAAGTGGGTGAGAAGGTTCACTCGCTTTCGAGCACATACACAGACGACCTCCCGTCATATGAGTTTTTGCTGGCTGTGACAGCGCTATAGTGCTGCACAGCAGAAACATAAAAAGTGTAGTAACCTTAATATCAGCATCTTTTTTCTCGCAATTTTCATCCTCAGCGGCGTTCGCTGTGTCGTCTTGCTGCTCAATAGCAGATAGATTTTCACCGCACATCAGATTCAGTACCTCTTCCTGCAAGTTCAGAAATCTACAGGACCATTCATATAGGCTCCAACGCGATGGCTTCTATATGTAAAGGCGCTGCTAAACTCAAAAGATTAAGCTCTGTTAAGCGCGGCCGTATCTCATTATTATTAAGCATCCCATGCTCAAACTTTCTGCCGATCTTAGTGGTAACTGTTGAATAAAAAATGCTGAAGAAATGTTGCATTTTACATCATGTGAACGCTAAAGCACTTTCCCTATACACACAAATGTAAGAAATTCCCACTCCATGGACGATGCTATACTAACTGCACGTAGCCGGATATCAAAATCGGATACCAAGAGGGATCTTTCTTCAGTCTACTCGCCTCTCCTTTTCCCTCTTATCCAGATACAACCGCCTCGCACACTAAGGACAGCAAAAAACCTCAACACCTTCATCTTTCAACTCTCTCCTGCATTTCGTCTTTGACGATTTCTGCAAAAATAACATAAATACCTCAATAACTGGGTGAAGTTGTTCGGAAAATCCCACTGCATCTGCTTCAATACATGAGCCTAATGCTTTCAGTGCTGTGCAGCACTGTGGATCAGACAAAGTGATGCGCTTCAACGATTCCTGAAAATCACAAATATACAAAAGTTGGCTCCCGCTTACACTGCAATTCTTCACACAGTTCATTAATTTTTCTGAGCAGAGCGAAGCAGTTCATTTGCCCTTTCAACTGAAGTGCTTTTTGGACTTTAAGATAGCAGAATGGGATAAAAAGAAGGAAAAACATACCCGAAAAACAGTTGTTAGTTGTGCTCGCGCTTTCTCCGTGTTCAATAATGCAGCGATACAGCGAACAGCAAATTTTGCTTGTCGTGGCATACCACTGAGACTCATACGCATGCAGTGCTTTATATATTTCTCAACATCGTTACTCGCCATCGACTTGTCCTCTTTTAAATGTGGCGCAATTGCTATGATCGCATGCAACAAGCACTCCACTGGAATAAATTACAGCACAAAATTTGCTTGCTATCAGTAGTCTGAAGCCAGATGTTCGGCTCTTTTAAACAGGCTGGCTGGTCAGTTGAGAAAATCGCGAGTTATCAGGTCAGAATCGATTTTTCCCAGTTGCCAGAAAAAAAGGATTATTGCACGAAGAATACTGGTGCGCGCCGCTTACTTTTCTGCTCCATCACTCGACATACATTTTCCATTTTGCACTACGCTGTATGTCTTTTCTGCACTACCAAATAGTCCTAAAAGTGGCACTTGCCCGAGTTTCGCAGATTTGACCAAATAAAAATGCACCAGATCGTCGTTGGAGCTGCTAAGCTTCCCACTGTTTTGTGCCCCAACACTACATATCCTCGTCTACAATAAGGCGCCCAAGTCAGATCTTGTTAGGAACGGTTGCTCGAACAGAATATAAAATCACCCATACGACCGATTTTCAAACCTTACAGTTGCAGAAGGTAGAAGGACGGCTAAAAGGTACACTAGAACACTGCAGGTGCAGCGGAAAACTCAAAAAAATCAAGTATTTTTCTTTGTAAGAAGGAAAAATGACCAAGACCTCTGATAAGTTGGATAATAGTTGTTGCAGCCTAGGCTACAACTGCGTAAAAAATTCCAGCTACGTACATGGCGGAAAGTACCTAGAAAT